GAGAGAGAGAGAGAGACAGGGAAAGTGAGAAAGCAAGCCACTGAGTCCAGGACATGAACCATGGTTGGCCATGTGGGAGTCTAACGCCCTTAACAACCATACCACCTGCTGGCCCCTAATTATAGGTCTTTTTTGATTGAGTTTAAATACCTTTTCATATGTGCAATACCTTACTTGTATTCATTTTATAGTGTGTTATCTATTTGTAAATATCTTTTGCCTAGTTTTCCTTTCTGTTATTATTTCTTACTGATTTGTAGAAGCTCTTTATATTGGGAAGATTAACTCTTTGTTATATATGTAGCCAATTCTCTTTGTTGTTATTTGCTTGTTTTTATTATAGGCCACATGCTCTCACTGGAGAGACACAGAGAGGAAAAGTGAGAAAGCACCCCTTGTGGGGATAGGCATGCCACAATCCCTTCTTCTTTATTCTCCTCTTGGGATTTTGAGCATGCACACACATGTGCCCGACATGTTTTTCAAGCTGCTCGGTCCAGATCCCACATGGGATCCAGCGTCCTTTTTTTTTTTTTTTTTTTAAGAATTATTTTATTTTATTTATTGATTTGACCAGAGAGGGACAGAGTGAGAGAGGGAGAGAAAGCGAATCGCCCAGTCTGGGACTTGAACCACAGTCGGCCATGTGGGAGTCCATGCCCCCAACCACCACGCCACATGCTGGCCTTGGATCCAGCTTCCTTAACTGACATTCTTGGCTGAGGACTTCAATCATAAAGTATCAAGGAGTCTCTAAAGAAAAGACATTGAACCCCCAGTGGAACTTAGGGCCAGTCTCTTGCTTATGGCAGGCAGAGCAGGAGCTCTTGAGGCTCATAATTCTTTGGCCAGCCCACGCCTTGCTTGTACAAGACAGGTCATGGGGACAGGATGGCTGGGCTTCCACTCCCTCCTGGTCACTAGATGTAGCACACTCCAGGTGAACACGTACTTCATGGTCCCCTCAGCACTGCTGTACCGAGTGCCGTCCTACCCAACTGACCTCTTGACACCAAAGTTTTATAACATGGAACCATTTTTTAAAAATTACTCTATTTAACTTTATTTATTTTAATTTGACTAAAGAGAGACACACAGAGAGAGAGAGAGAGAGGAAAAGCGAAAAAGCAAGCCACCAGGTCTGAGACTCGTAGTTAGCCATGTGGGAGTGTCCAGCACCTTAACCACCACGCCACCTGCTGGCCCCCATAAATTCCTTTTTTGTTTAAATTAGATATATTGGGAACCAGCAGTTAGCGTAATGGCTATGTAGCTGGACTCCCACGTAGTCGACCACAGTTTGTGTCCCGGATCCGGTGGCTTAAAACACGCTGGACGCGTGTGCATGTGTGCCCAAGATCCCAACAGGAGAATGGAGGAGAAGGGATTGCGGTGTGACCATCCTCCCAGGGGGGTGATTTCTCGCTTTCTGTCCCTATGTCTCCATGTGGGAGTGTCCAGCATTTTAACCACCATGCCACCTCTTGGTCCCCAGGGATGATCTCTCTTAAGTGCCATTTGTTGATGCTTTCGTTCCTATGGACATATGATAGTAGATTGTTATGACTGACACAGAAAAGAAACCCCAGCCCCTCTCACCCACTCCTTCCACTACTCTTCCATCTCTGCCCTCCACAGCCAGATGCCTAAGGCTGCCTTACTGTTTCTTTTCTTTTCCTTTTTTTTTTTTTTTTTTTTTTTGAGAGGGGGTTTTT